CAGTCTTCTCCATGCATAACATGGTTCAGAAATAATGAATTGAGAGTTTCTGATATGAAATAATCAGTCAAATGTGGTAATGTGTCTATAAAAATATGGTTAAAATGAGTATAAATGGTTTTAGATACAGGGAAACATTTCTGTGATACTGTCTTGATAATTAAAATCCTAACATTACTTAACAGCTTTATGATGTGACAGCAGATGCCTAGAGTAGGTAGTTTTATTATTTTGGCTCATACCTTTAGCTTATGTGAATGTATGTGGTGATCAATTAAATTATGCAAGATTTTATAATATATGACTTTGCTAATACTACTTTATAACTCTATTTTAGCTTTGACAATTCTGGTTTTAAAATATGCACACACAAACACACACACACACACACTCACACACACATATATAGCCTCCCACCATGGGAAAGTGAATATTTTAAAAATGTTCTTAATTTATTTAGCAGGTATGAGTGCATACTTCTTACATGCATATATTGTGCAGTGGTAAAATCTGGGCTTTTAGTGTGCCCATAACTCAAGTGGTGAACATTGTATCCAATAGGTAATTTCTCAACCCTCATCCTCCTCCTAGCTTCCCACCTTTTGTAGCCTCCAATGTCTATTATTACAGCGAGTGACTGTTTGAGAAAAGTAAAGCTGCCTTATTTATCCCAGCATCCCTCCTGTACATAATACAATTGGTTTTGTGGCTAGCTACTCATTATATGTTGGTTAAATTAGTTATTTAATTAAACACAAGGAAAAAATATATTCAGCTAGTCCCTTTGATTCATCTCTTTAATTCTTAAAATTGATGCTGAACTGGAGAATATTGCTTGGATATATGGTCAAATGGGGTTTCTCATTTGAACTTATCAAAACTTAGGCTTTCCCTTGTATGGGAAGAACCTGCTCTAGTAAAATTATCATACAATGTAGACCAGATCAGAATCTATCTCCTCCGTAGGAAGGCATATCTGGAAAAGGGAGAGCCCAGAATATTGCTGCATCAAGCTTGCTTAATTTTTATTTGAAAATTCAGCTATCAGATGTGGAGTGGATTGAAGTGTTATTTTAACAGTAGTGTCTGCATTAGGAAATATGAGGCCAGTATGTAGGTGAGAAGCCTGGGGGTTAGAGAGGTTAGATAATTTGTTCAAGATGAGAAGTAGAGTATAGGTTTTACCCAACTCTTCTAATACTAAATCAAGGTGTTTTCTTGTCGTTTTATTTTGTGGTTTTTGTTTTTGCTTTTGCTGCTGCTGCTTTTTTTTTTTTTTTAAGAGCCCTTTAAATAATCCTTTTTTAAAAAGAATCCTTTAGATTTTTTTAAAAACATCTTTTTTTAAAAGAATTTTATGCTGCATCATAATAGTAATAACTGGTGGTCCCGGGGGAATGACGTTTAGTGAACAGGCTGAGGTCTGTCACAGTGCCAGTCCAGGGCAAAAGAGGTCCATGTCTTCCATCTGCTGCTGAGGAGAACACCAAGAGAGTCTAGTCCCCGTGGGGAACCCAGAGGGTAATAAAAGCATTGAAGCCATGGGACTTTAACTTCTAGGGCATGGTTATGGCTTCTATAAACTCTCTTTGCCATGTAATTTTACATTGCTTTTTAAATTGTTATATTCTGACATCATCATATGCAGGTTTTCTACTTTTATTTAAAATAGCTTAAAATCCCAGTCTGGACAACATAGCCAGACCTTGTCTCTACAAAAAAATTTTTAAAATTATCCAGAGGTAGTGGCATGTATCTGTAGTCCCACCTACTGAGGAGGCTGAAGCAGGCTAGTTTGAGCCCAGGAGTTCAAGGCTGCAGTGAGCTTTGATTGCCACTGCACTCCATCCTGGGTGAAAGAGTGAGACCCTGTCACAAAATTGAAAAACACAATAAAATAAACTATGATAAAAATCCTAAAATAACAAAAGGTTACCTTAAGTTTTATTTAAGATGTAAATTTGTTTTGAGGTGTGGAAAGATCTCATGCCCTGTGAGATGTGACTGAGACAGTAGATTTAATGTTGCCTTAAACTTCATTTATTTATATCTAGTTAATGACTAATGCCTTTGTAGTGTTTTTAAATCAGGAGAAATAATGACTTCTTATTTTACAAATGGCAGTAAAAAGTCAAAGCACATTAAGATACCTATTCTAGTATAATTGGCAATAGCAACAGATGGAAACTGCACATTCTATCATATTATGTTTTATAACATATTCTCTGGCATTCCTATGTGGAGGACAAGTGGTTAGGTGGTTGGGTGGGTGGAAGATGCCTGTGGTATGTGGATGTTGGGAAGGGGAGGGGATATTGACCAGTTTTGAGTAGGAGCATGTCGTTGTCTGCATTCGTGTTAGATGTACAACTTAGGCAAAGATTTGGGGTTTTGAGTAGAGAGATTGAAGGCTGGGATAACACTTGGAAGGCTACTAAACTTGTTGGTGCCTGTGGGAATTAGGGAAAGAAGATAGATTTAACTTCTTCTCCAAGTAAAATTTACAAGGATTGGCAACTTTGGTTTCATTTTAGAGAAGAGGAGACATTTTTGCTGACTCTGAGACTTTGAGCTGAGTGGCAGAATGTTAGTGCATTTAATAGAAAGCTGTGGGACCACAGTGCAAGCTGAGAGTGATGGTGGGGAGCTAAGTGGAACCCAAGGTCCTGAGCTAGAAGAATACTTTTAAAGCACTCTCTCTCTGAACTTGTTTCCTCTATTGGCTAAATACAGTAGTATCTTCTATTGAATGGATAATAGCTAAGAAAGTAAGGGTCTTAAATGTACCATGTACTCAAATCACCTTTCCAATAATTCTTTTCCATTAGTGAACTCCTGTTGTCAGCAAGAAGGGGGAATCCATTAAGGTGGTAGAATACTTGCATATTTAGGATCACCCTCCCCCAATTAGATTTTTCTAGGATGTATTAAAACTTTAAAGGAATTATTCTGTGAAAGCAAATTTGACTGATGGCATCTTTCTCTTATGCTTGTCAAGGTTAAAAATGATTTCTTTTTACATTATAACTCTGAGAGATAATGTGGATTGTTTTCTTCTGCTGTAAGCTAACTTTTAGCTCCATTGTAATTCTAGAATTTAGAAAATAGAATCACTGTTAGTACTACTCAGTGAAAGTTAGGATTATGGTACTGTTTCCAGGAAAAGAATAGAAAAAAATATTGTATCCAGATGAGAAAAGAAATGTGTTATATTATTTCCATTATGTTTGTGAGACCTTTGGTTTTTGTGTTTTCTGATTAATTTACTGCTGTTTTCCATTCACAAGATATATGTGAGCTTTCTGTTCTTTAGAATTTCTTGTACTTTTTATTCAGATGAAAAACTTGGATTTTGCACATTAATTCAGTTTTACTCCTTAGTTACAATGCGAAAAACATCATAATCTCACAAGGGAAATGTGTAAAATGCTTCGTGAAACTTGGGAATAATATTATAAATAAATCTATTGCCAAGAACTTATTGTCATGTTTTAAACACGGAATTAATAACCTGTTCCAAGGGCACACAGGCTATATATCAAGGTTTTCTCCTAAGACTATCTGCATTTCCTTTCTCTCCTGTCCTCATATTATTGAAGAATTTTGGAAACCGGAAATTAAAAAAAAATCTCGCATGATCCTATTTTTGGAGTTACTTTTGAGAATTTATAACCTTGGCAAAAGTTAGTCACCTTCAGCCATTCTCTCCCCAGGGCTCCTGGTGAACAGGTCTGTTTTGCATTTGGCTTTTCTTTTCTCAAAGGTGCATGTAGAAACCACACTGTCTGTGTTTATCTCACATCTCACAGAATTTAGTTGCCCAACTTTAGTAATGTGATTTCTCTGTACTCTAAGTTATATTCTTATAAAAAAAGGTGAGTCAAATTGTTGAAGGTGTTAGTGTGATTACAAAGGTGACTAAAGTTAATGTTAAACTCAGTTCATTCTATTTGCTATTTGTTTTACACCAGCAAACATTAACCCATAATTTGCTGCTTTAGGTGAATTTTAATTTTTGATATATTTGCTTAAAATGTTTATTTAACATGTTAAAGTAATATGATAAAAGAAATATCTTATGTGAAGAAAGATGAATTCTACATTTAGAAAGAAAATATGTAATTTATAATTTGAACTCTTTAAACTTTTCGAACATGCACACTAGACTTAACAGACCCTGGTTTTATCAGTGGATAGTATTTTTTGAGGATCTTATATTGTAACGACACTAAGCAAAATAATACAAAATAAGTACAAAGTACATTTTTCAAACTCCTGTCAATTTTGTTCTTTATAGATCTTATCAAACTATTTTCTTGATAACAATGTTTACATATCAAAAGTATGTCTTTGTATTTCTCTTCTTATTTAACTTTAGAATATTTTGTAATAATACTAGCTAAAACAGTTAACTTATACATATGGGAGCCTTTTAAAATTATTATTCTTGATGTAATAAATAACATATTAACTGAATAATGTTGATGATAATTTCTGTACATAAAATTGAGTCTTGTCATATTATCAATATAAAAAAGTAGTTGATAAAGCAAACAATATTATTGAAATTTTATTCTTTTACCCTTTTTAAAAAAGAAACTACTTTGAGGTATATGTACAGGGTACAAAATGAAGTTATTCGTTGGTTAATCACTTATATTACATTTTAGTAATTTTACCCCAAATAAATGTATTGAACACTCACTAGCCACTAAGCACCTTGTTTCATTGGGACAAAGAAGCATTTGAAGATTTCTCAGTAAATATATAGACTGCTTTTGATTGTCAGATATATTATATAATTGTGAAATTCATGGTACAATTTGTTCACTGTGTTAAAATCTCAGTTTATGTCTAATTTTGTACTAGGGTAAAATTTCTTTATGCTTTTATTTCATTTTAGTTTTTAAGCTTAAGTTTTCAGTAGAAATGATAGAAACATACCACATATTTTGTAAAAGCATTTAATTTATTTGGTTAAATAAATTAGATAAAATTTCTAGAAGTTATTTGTGTTATTACCTGTTTATTATTATTTAATAATTATACACATTTAGAAATGCAGCCTTCCCAAATCTTTGGGAAGCGTATTTTACAAGTGGCAACTGCTTAATGCTTAGATGTAAATAATAGCATCTTTCACAAAGGAAATCAGATATTTCTCTTCCACTGATAGAGGGAGTCTGGCATGCTGTTTGATAGAGGGGAACATAGGCCTCAAATCTGGACAATCTAGAAAATCCGGGACTCAATATTTCACAGCTATGTGAAATAAGTAATCAAAACTCTGAGCTTCAGTGTCCCCATAGGAAAATATTTATCATAATGTCTATCATGTATCATTTAGAGAATAGGGTAATAGGTATAAATTATTTGGCACAATGGTTACCTAGAATATGAGAAGCATTTAATAAATTACAGCACTGCATTTTTCCAAAGGTTATTGTAATTTCTTCAAACACAAAGATGGTACTAATGATCTATCACCAGATTCACCCTCACACAGGGCTGGGGACTCTTTGGGGCAGAGAACAGGCATTTACAGAATGGCTGGCCATGTAGGGAGTGTTATGTGTGATCAGGAAACAGATTAAACTGGCTGGCCTACAAGAGATTCAACATTTTGACCCTGGCCTCTTTATTATTGTTCGTAACTTACAAAGTTACCTAGTCTCAGACTCAGTGAAAAGTCACTCAACTATTAATTTATATAGTACAGCATTTTTGCAATATGCTTTATGCATATTAAATCACATGATGGAAAATGTGCTTGAAAATGTGGCTACATCAGCATAACACATGAGAAGGTTAAATTTAGCAGTTCACATTGCCAGACTTGGCCACCTCTTTGACCCATGATATAATTTAAGCCAAGCTTACTTTAGACTTTGAAAAGTATCAACTAATTGTGCATGTCAAAGCAGGTTCTTGAAAAAGAGAAAGAACTAACTTTCCCCTATTTGAGAGAAGAGAGAGGGAAGGGCAAAGCAGAGTCTCTGGAGATATGTGTGTAAGTTTGCTTGTGGCTAAAAGTTAATGATCAGTTGCCTCTGTTCTTAGCCCTGAGCCGGGAGAAAAGTGTCAAACGTGGGTTCTCTCTCTATTCAGGTAACTTTAAAAATGATACAAATCGTATTCATGTTCATTGTAGTTTAGATTATAGAGGTGATTTTTTTTTTCCTTTAGTGTCATGTGATTTCATACTCTAAGTATATTGGAATAACAGTGAGAAACTTTATATATGCTGGCTAATGTAATAAAAAATATTTTATTTTTGAAGTATTCCAAGTTAAGGCTAAGCAGAGATTCTGTATTGTATTAGATGGGAAGATAATTTTTACATGTTTTTATGAAACTATCAATTGTGGTTCTTAATCCTACTGGCTGAAAGATGTATTAATCATAATTATTTAAAATAAGGTACATTATATAGTGTGCCAAGTCTTGGCTAGTAAGGAAAATTTAAAAAATTTTTAACATTGACATTCTGAAAATAAGACTAAATCTTTAATCACTAAAATTATTTGTGTTTCATATTATAATGCCAAAAGTAACCTATTTTTCCTATTCTGAATCATTGTATTTTATAACTGTGTGTGTGTACTTTGTTGAAAAAAAAATAGTAAAAATAAATTGATTTTTATTATAGGACTTAGGTAATTTCATTCCAAAACATTTGGGATAGTATTACTACTTCTCATTTAGATACGCACCAAAGCCATGCTGACAGGTTCATAATTTCACATATTCTCAGGTGTTGATGAGCAATGATTTTATTTTTGTATTCCTCCATTCAGGAGGTTTAAAGGTATGGACAGCAGGCCAGACCAGCACCAGGCCTGTATCAGGGAGACAGACTTTCTTATCTCCCATCTTGTGTGGAGTACTTAGAGCCCCCTCTACCACGCAGAGCATGAACTTCTGCTTCATTGACTACTTCCAGTCCCACATTCCAGCAGGCTCAATGCTGTGTTTTCCAATGTTGTGTTGGAAAACCATGCTGTGTTTTCCCTCTGTTTCTGGGCAATGGAGATGCTTCTTTTTGTTGATATTGTTATTATGATCACCATTTAGGTTAGATATTTAATTTGTTTTTTGCTTTTCAGATTTTTTTATCATCATGTGCTTGCAGCAGAGAGGTTACATTCACATGTGAATTTACAGCAACATGTTGATTCTTTGGCTGACTTTCGACTAAAGGTGGATAGCAAATTATCAAATATAAAGTGCATCGCAGTTCTGTATTGCCTATTGCAATTAGATATGCATTGAATTCTAATTGTGTGGGTTGCGAACATGACATTCTTATATAATAATCAAAGAGCTTATTTGTGTTCGTACCTGGATGGAAGGCTGTGCCATCTCTCTATCAAGATAGTTCTGTAAGTGTACTTTATGGTAGTCCAAGGACTTTAATTCAAATGCAGTTTTGGATCTAGTCAGCTATTTGACCCGAGCTTTAACAAAGCCATAGAATTCTCCACTCTAAAGCATAAAAGAGTTGACTTTGACTCAGGATATTTTGTAGGCTAAAGTCTCATTTCCATCCCTTCTATGATAAAATAACTTACAAGGTTCTTATGAAATTTATAATTTTGAGCAGTATATTAAACATGTCAGAATGATTTTGCCACATAATATTTCCACGTATAATGAGGCTAACCTCTTGAACAAAACGTTGAACATTTTATATCTGAGTGTAGAAGAACATTTGCTGAAATTGATGAATTGGTTTTGGCATAATAAATATTGAGCTGTTGTTTTTGACAATAATTGGCAAATAGATTCAGTTATTTCTTGAAGTTGATTCTAAAATATACTAGTAAGAATATGTCATAACAAAGAATAAGTGCTGAAATTGAGACTCCCATGATGTTGAACAAAATTAAGCCCTAGCTCAGTAAGGTAGGATACTGTGTTACTTATAGTTTAGACAAGTTGTCAGAGAATATGTTTTTTTGTTTTTCTGGGGTTTTTTTGTCCACAAGTAATCTCTAGTAATTTTTGTTAGCAATAAAATATTAACCGAACAATTAAATAAGAAAACTTCCTCCCCTTTGGGCAACCCAAAAACAAAAAAAGAAGGAAAAAACGGCCCAAAAAAACCAAAAGAAAATAAAAAAAAAGAAAAAAAAAATGCAAAAATCAATTCCTAACCAAAAAAACGAAACTAAAAATGAAACAAGGTTAAAAAAGATGACACTGCATGTTTAATTCTGTGTATCAGTTCTTCAAACGTCTTAAGTCCCTATTGATCTTTGCTGTGCTACTTGTTGGAACATCATTGGTTATCTAACTGGAAGAGGGCATTTGTTTATCTGTTAGTTCTCCAAGGATATCCTCATCTCTCTTGAGAAGAATTTTTGCAAATATTCTTTTGGATTTTTTTACTCTTTGCTTGTCACTTGATGAAATCATGCTCATCATTCAAGGCTCAAGTAACCAAAATATTTTTATGATCTCAGTCTGGTTTAGTTATGCTGCCTTATACAATAGTTATTACTTTAGAGCAGTTTTTCCCAACTAGATTTTGATGAGAAAATTATTCCCTAATGACCTAAGCCTTACACCTGATTTATCCATTTTATGTGTTAACTTTTCTCTTTTGCATTATGTTGCATAATATTTATGTAATATTAGAAGAACTAAGAAAATAGCCACTAAAACAATTTTCCATTTTTAGGGATTCAGATAATTCTAGCTGAAAAGCTGCCATAGACTGTTATATTCTTTTTTCCTTATTATTATCTCTAAAAAGATTATATACTCCATGAAGGCATAGACTATATCTTGTTTACTCTTTATACCTGTAGTGCTAGCACACTGGACTTCTGCCACATAGGAGTCGTTTGATAAATATTTGTGAATTAAATGATAGAAAGAGGCTTTCTTCTTCTCGCAAAACTTTGTTGATAGAACTGTTTAAGGTGACAGGTAATCCATATCACTGGGTCCAAAGAGCTTAGATTACACATGAACTAGTGCTGATATTTGAAAGGGCCAGTCAGGTGGGGAAAGCAGAGGAAATCTGAACTGTGCTGATATTTTTTTGTCAGCCTACCAATGTTATATGTATAGATAGCAGGCCTGTTTACGTTAAGTCAAAATTCTCTACAGTCTTATCAGCTCTCTAAAGTAAGAGGTGCTGGGAAGAAGGTGCAGAAAAGAGGAGCAGCTTGGCAGAAATAAGGCAGGAGATCTATGTTCCAATAAAAAGGGCTAAAATTTAGGCCACAATTTCCGTCCTTTGGGAACTGGAGTGAAAACCAACAGTCAAGATAGAAGTCATGCTACAGAGATAGGAGTACATTTGGGAATGCTGTTACTCATGTGATATTCTGGTATCCCAGATCACAATGGATACAATGGGACAGAAGATAGATCAGATTCAAACATGCTAGAGGGTTTAGGACTTCTAAAATGCTAAGACTCAGTTACAGTTGTCTCATAAAGTGGTAGGTCTGATCCTCAGCTCTCAGATCATCTTACCCATAGCTAAGCAAGTCTGGGTCAACGAGGGCAATGATGGAACAAGGCTGTATGCCAGTCATTATTCAGCAGACTAGTTTGTTTCTTCATAGCATGGTGCTGATGGGGTCCCAAGACATCCTTAAGAACTAGCAAGAGAGGACAGGCTCAAATGCACAAATGGTTTCAAATATCTACTTATTTCATATTTTCATATTTCTTATTGTCTTATTCACTGGCCATAGTGTTCCAGGCTGAGTCTTTGTATACCCCCAGAATACCCAGTGTGATTGAATTTGGAGATGGTGCCTTTGGGAAGTAATTAAGTTGTGATGGTAGCATCTTGTTCTGATGAAATCAGTGTCCTTATGAGGCAACAGAGAACTTGATCTCTCCCACTGTTTTCTTGGACAGAGGAAGGCTAAGTGAGCACACAGCAAAAGAGCCCTCAACCTCACCTGACCATGTGGCACTCAGATATCAGAGTTGCAGCCTCCAGAAGTGTGATAAAACAAATTTCCATTGTTGAAGCCACCACTGTATTTTGTTACGGCAGCCAGGGCAGACTGGCATACACAGCAGATCACATGTTTAAGCCTCAAAGTAAAGGTAAAAGGAAAATGTTAAAAGAGGAAGATAGAGAGGGGAAGCATTTGTGGCCTGTTTTGTAATCAACCATAATTTTACCACAGTCTGAAAAAATACAATGCATGATGTAATAAAATCTGTGTAGGGATTATACATTAATGAACTATGCTGCTTTTTATATAAAATAATTTAAATGATCACTTTTAGAAAAAAAAAATGAACTGGGTCAGATGTTCTGATGTTATTTAGCACTTCCACTTTCCACATCATGCACTTACATATTAAGTATACTTCAGGACTATTATGTGTTTACTAGTTTTGCAGCTATTGCAAATTCCCCAGTTATATATAAAGCCAAATGACTAAATATTTCTTTAAATCTTTCTTCACATAATCTGTTCAAAAATTAAATTTTTTATTATTTCATTGCCAATTGACCTTCAGGCAAACTGTCAAGAAATTTATGAGGGTAACAGCTTGAATATGTGTACACAAGTGTCTCTTGGGTAAAATATGAGTTATGGCTTTCTTGCTCCTGAAATGATTAAGTCTCAAAACCTGAAGTTGACAACAGAGTCATTGTACAGATTGATGTTCTCAATGACTAACATTTGACAGAATTTGCTTCTGATTTATCATGCTTCTAGGTAAAACAATTTACTTCATTTTTTAGTATTTTTACTGTGTTCTTTCACTAATTGGATAAAAAATAAATTTTTATATTGAATATATTTGCATTTTGAGTAAACTAATATTTTAAATTGAACTTTTATTTTTTAAAGCACAATTTTTATTTTTTTAAGTATGCTGGCATGATTTCTGCTCTTTTCTTTTTTGATATGAAGTAGTTCCTGATTTTTTTTAATTGTAGCTAACAGCAAACTATTACTCATATAAAATCTGTTTAGTAATAATTGGATTTTTTTTACCATTTTTTTCATTCAAGCATGTCAAATGGATGTGAAGAACAATTATAAACAATTAGGTACAACCCCCACTAACAAACTTTATAATTTCTGGAAAATAGAGAACTAATAAATCGCTTTTTTCTTACTCCTCAATTACTCTAAATTATTATAATTTTTTTTAAGAATTAAAGTATGCCACATTAAAGAAGGAAACAAAATGCAAAAAATAGAGAGTGTAGATAATACATAATTCCTTCCTAGAGTATTTTTATCTACTAAGTAGGTAAAGGGACATATTTTTATTTTATGTTTCCTATATAATTTATACTTTCTACCTTATGCAAATGTTACTTAAAATCTTTTGCTAAATGCAAAAGAGTTTACGTAACATTTGCATAAGGTAGAAAGCATATTAACATAATTAATATCCAGAGGACTACCATTCAACTGAAGAATTTACTAGAATATCACTTGAAATGAGTTTATTCCTCTCCTGTTTCATCTGCACCCTGTTTCATACAGAGACAGCTTATTTTAAACTTTTTTATGTTTTAGCTCATTGCTTGTGTGTGTGTGTGTGTGTGTGTGTGTGTTTTAATGTAGTGCTTAGTGTTTTTTCTTATAATAGAAAGATTTAATGAATAGTTGTGAATTTTTGATACTTTGAATTTATAATGGAATCTAGGATGAGATCTTTTGAGTGCAGTCTTTTTGTGAACTGCATTTTCCTTTCTAGTAAAAAGACAAAATCAGGGTTTGTGTGTGAAGAAGTTGGTCCAATGCATCATTATTGGGTAGGCCAGAGACATATTGGAAGGGGTGACACTTAAGCTGGAAAAATTTGAAAATCGAACATTGAAATATTAAAGAGATTTTTTTAAGGAGCTCTTAAACCTTGCATGCAAATGTTTATTAACAAAGCTAGTGGTATTTATAGCTTACTCCAAATTGGAACTTATTCCAAACTAAACATGTTATCTTCTTTTACCTAAAACTTGTCTCAATAAATAAATGGTTTCAGCGAGACTTTCAGGTCAAATATCTGTCTCATTCTCAATCCCTCTCTTTTCTTCCACTAGTTTTAGCATCCATCTTCCAAGTACAGTAAGGTTCTAGTTCCTTAATTGCTCTCAAATCTTCCCTCTTGTCTTTCCACAAGGCTACTGTTTTGTCATGGCTTTTCTAGATTACTTGCAGTAGAATCTAATAGTTTGTTGCTATAACCTCTGTCTTCAA